AGCAGAGGTGCTGGCACAGCCAAGTGCTTAAGAAATATCTGTCCAGCCCTAACTGCTTTGGCTCAGTGGATAGAGCGTCGATCTGCGGACTGAAGGGTCCCAGGTTCGATTCCGGTCAAGGGTATGTACCTTGGTTGCGGGCACATCCCCAGTGAAGGGTGTGCAGGAGGCAGCTGATCGATGTTTCTCTCTCATGGATGTTTCTAACTCTCTATCCCTCTCCCTTTCTCTCTGTAAAAAATCAATAAAATATATTAAAAAAAAAAAAAGAAATATCTGTCCAATGAATAACTGAGGTAACCAGTCCATGCAAATCAGCACATGCATGCCATAGGAGCCAAAGAATTCCATACAGCTATAGGATTTCAAGGGAGAAGGGGATAAAATGGTTACTAGGACAATTCACTTAATCACAAAACTAAATAATGATAAATTAATCACAACATATTGACACCTTAATTTATAAAAACTGATTTGTGTTTAGAAATATAAAGGCTAATAATATATATACTTAGAATGAAAAATGATGGCTTAATTTTTTCATATTACCAAATAGCCTTCACTTTTCCAAAATGTTTTCTAAAACTTATGCAATGAAAGCACTTTTTATATAAGACAACCTACACTATAGCAAATTATTCTAATTCCTCTATGCTGAGATCACACAAGGTGTCTTTTTAAAGAGAGATTTCCACCTCCAGGGATCATGAGCATTTCAGCAAGAGCATAGTCTGGTTTACTGTACCGAGCTACTTAACATTTATTCTAATAAGGGACACCCAGGTTACATATGGATAACTTGATCACACTCCCTGACATGTTTTAACAGAAAATAAACATTTTCTTTAAATAGCTAGCAATCCCCCCAATAACCAGTGAGCAAGGAGGGAGTTAGTGGCCTGCCTGCGAAAACTGCTGAGCGACTGATAGTTTCAAGCATTCACCCTAGCAGTTAAAATCAATTAATCATTCCTTATAACTGGAACAGAATATAATTAATTATGTTAACTTGGCTAGTTCAAGTTTAATTCCACTAAAAAATCATTATAAAAATCATTATGAATATAGGCCATTATCATGAATTATTGCTAGAATAAAAACAGTAATGAATGAATTTCTAGAATGAATTTCTAAATGAATCTTATTCACATTTTTAAAAAACCTTTCCAATATAAACACTGGGAGAGAAAATAGTATAATGAATCCCCAAGTACCCATCACCCAACTTTAACAATTATCAACTCATGTCAATCTTGTTTCAACTATATTCCAACACACTCCCCAACTCCAACTCCTTCATTATTTCTAAGTAAACCCTAAATACCGTATCATTTTAAGCATTTGCATCTCTAAAAAGGGCTTTTAAAAATGTAACCATTACCACACCTAAAAATAACTGTAAAAATCCTTAAAACCATCAGACATTGTTAGTTTTCCTATTTCCCCAATGGTCTTATTTTTTATTGTTTGTTCAAATCAGGATCCAAGTAAGTCTATAAATTATATTGGTAGATATATCTCTCAAGTCTCTTTTAATGTATCTTTTTTCCTTTGTAATCCCATTGTTGAAGAAACAGGGTCACTCGTCCTGCAGTTTTCCAGTCTGGACTTTTCCTATTAAATCCCTTGTGAATTGCATCATTTAACATGTTCCTTTGTTTCCTATATTTCTATCCTATATTTCTAGTAAAGAGGTGATTAGATTCAGAGGCTTGATCAGAATCAGATTTGACTTTTGGCGGGACTGCTTCGTAAGTGGTGTATTTCCATTAGGAGGCACAAAATGTTAAGACTGCTATCTCTTTGAAGTTATTAGAAGTCACTGGTGAGCATTGTCTGAATCCAATCATTGTTGGAGGATAAAATGGTGATAATCTATCACTCTTCAACTTATCAGTTAGGATATTTAAGAGCATACTCCAAAGGTAACTATGATTTTGTGAACTATCATTAGTAACTCATGGAGTAAAATAGGAGCTTCAATCTCTTGCAGATATTATCCTTACTGATGCTAAAATTATCTCAGCTTTGGCTAGTGGGAACATCAAGGTGGCTCCTGAATCTTTTTTAATCTAATGGCTTCCTTGCTTTCTGGTGATAGTGTTTTCTAGGCTCTTCTTGGGTATTCCTTTCCCTAGATCTGGAATTAGCCTTTATCCAAAGATGTCCAAAGCTAATAAAGTCAATTAAGGAGGAGTCTTCTACTTTTGTTTCTAATAAATTCATGTGGTTGTGTACCCGTGAATTTTTAAGCATGGAGCCCTCACATTTAAAAGAAAAACGTTACCTATATGACAATATGCTAATGGTGGAAGTATTCTTACATAGTAATGGAAGGAGCATAACCTGGTACATCCAGCTGGAAGACAATGTCATAATTTTTATCAATGACCGTTAAAAAACCTTTAACCCAACAATTACATTTTTAGAAATTAATTATTAGGCTTAGGATTTCCCCTCTAGGATTGTTTAAAATAATGAACAATCTAAAAGCCCAAATGTCCAAACAACAAGAAATTGGTTAATTTTTAAATGTACAATGCATTCACAGAATGAAGTATTTAGTCATTAAAATGTAGATACCAATGTATTGTTAAACAAGAAAGGTGGATCACAAAAGTATGCATATTATGCCTTTAGCCACATGCATAGAAAAGTATATTGAAGGCTATATTCCAAAATCTTAGTGCAATGGCTGTTCTCATGTTGCCACTGCTGGTTTAGAATTTGGCATCCCTGGGTCTGTCTGCCAAGTCAAATACTACTCTTCTAACTGCTTTCCAGTTCCATTTTGTTCTTTTCTCCAATACTCCTTGTCCTTGTTGGATTATGCTTTTTTCTTTCTCCAATTGCTATGATTATAGTGGAAATTTTAAGAAAGAGCAGAGGTTAATAAACATTTTGCTGAACCCTCCATTTTTACCTATCATCTTGTTGCTTTTTTATGAGAAAACACTCTAAAGAGCTTATCAGCTATAAAACATACGAATTTCTACTGAAAATAGTGCATACATGTATATACCTAAGACACACATTATAACAGTACAGAACACACTTGTATGGCTAATAATACAAAGTGTTGGATACAGAAACAATAATGTAAAACTAAACTGGTAATAAATGGAAAAAGAGATTCAAATGGAAGTTGTTTTTAATCAAGAACATAAAACCAGAAATGTTGAAACTGAGCTGAGCCCTGTGATCATCTGTTTAGTTACTTAGAAATCAAACATGGTTTTATAGAAACCATAATTTCTTACTATTTTAATGACTTCTCTACAGATGAACTGTCTCTGGTAGCTGTTTAAAACTATACCCAACTTGCTTTCTAGTTTTGGGAGACCTGATCCTGTAAATCTGGATCATGAACATTCCCTCTTATACCACTGAAAATGGCTGTCCAGTTTTATAATGCTCTTGGTACAGTGACTCTCTTAGACTTTCAATTAAAGGGATTAACCAAAAAAAAAAAAAACCAAACATAAATATATAACACAGGCACACAGACAACAGTGTGGTGAGATAGCCAGAGGGAAAGGAAGGAGGGGGGTTGATGAGGGAGACAAGGGGGGGTGGGGAATGGGGACTGAAAGAGACTTTGCCTGGGATAGTGGGCACACAATGCAGTGTGCACGTGATGTTTTATTGAGTACACACATAAAACCTGTATGATTTTGCAAACCAAAGTCACCCCAATAAATACAGTTTTTTTAAAGAAGAAATAACAAGAAATTAAAAGCCTTCTCAAGCACAAGCACCCACAATTGCACAGCTGCCAAGGACACTAATCCCATCCTTAGAGAAATAATAATCATTAGGTCTTAAAATGTACAGACCATAGAAACAGATGTAAGGATTTAAGAGGAGTAGTTTGCTCAACTTGAAGAAATCTTCAGTTTTCATTAATCTGTGAATATGACAAAAATAAAGTTCCCAACCACCAAGTGCTGAAGACACCCCAGAAAACAAAACTGATCAGATAAAGTTTGTCTTTCCCTTAAAGAAGTCCTTTACCAAACTATATGATATTGCCTATATTACAAGGATCACTAAGTCCAGAAACTGTAATAACTGATTTTACTGCTGATTTTGTTTGTAAGTTGCTGCCTGAATTTAGAAAACTGGAAAAAATTCTAAATAAAATCTAAGCATTCAATTTTAAGTAAAAACAAATTTGCAATCATCTGAATTAATCAATATTGACAGTTTCATGGACAAACAAAACTAAACATAATATACATTTTAATGTTTCTAAATTAAAGTAACTAAAAAGTAGGGCATGTTTATTCATTTAACAAATACTACTTACTTATAACTGGCCTCAATTTAAAAAAAAAAGAAAAAGGATTGGGGGCAGGGCACCATTGTGGACTTATAATTCTTTTTCTAGATAAGACTGAAATGTCAAGTCTCTCCTTATTTGCTATGAATTTGACAAAGCAGAAAAATGAGATTCAAAAATTTTAAATATATCTACTAAACTAGGCTTTTTTAAAAATTAGGTACTTAGCAAACTTTGCAAAATATACATTGGTATAGTAGGTTCTCAAATAACATCGTGTCTTCAACATTTCTCTATAACTTTGAGTCTAGTTTATGTCAATTAACCTCTGATAAAACTGGTTTCATTATACATCATTTTGCTTTAAGTTGCAGAACCTATGGACCAAGTTAAGTGAAGACTTAATGTCAATAAGACCAGTTTCCAAAATGCCAGCTCTTCCATCAAGAACACTTTTAAACACAAATGAGTAGTGACTAGCAATAATGTGAAGCAATTGAGATTATTTCAGTGTTTTAAAAATGTCCAATGTATAAATACAAAGATACCTAATCAAAATTTTTTACATGGACTCCTAACTAGAAATAAAGATATCTATACTTGTGTGGAAAGAGACATCCCTCTTTCTACTTAACCATCTCTTTCATTTAAGAAGAAGTTGTCTAGTGGGAAGCTTCTTTTGATAGTTCTCAGAGTTCAAGAGAATGGAACCTTCAAGTTGATTTCATCAAGTCTATTTATTAATGCATTTCAAGTTTCAAAAAACCTTACATCTTTTCACAATACTTTATTTTTTGCAATTTTTAGTAAAAATTTCCAAAGTGAACAAAAAGATACTGTATAAAACACAGTGGACATTAAACTGACAGTAGTATTAGATCTTATTTGTCTTGATCCTTTTGTTTTACCACATCTTGATCTGCCGTGGAGAGTTCAGTGCATGTATCTCTTTTCAGAAAACATTTAACTTAGACTCAAAATAAAACAGGGCAGTGTATACCTGCCAAAACCTCACCACAGGATAACATTACAAGCAAAAAATGTACATGTTCCAAAGTCTACCACACTCAAGAAGTTACTAAGAACCTTTGCAGAATAAAAGTCACCATTTTAGAAATGCAAACCCACTTCCAACCTTTGCACAGTCCAAAAACAAAGGCATTTAAATGATTTAAAAGCAATTACATACATATCTACCTACTTGTTTGTTTAGAATTATTTATAGTCTATCTGGGGTTTCATGTACAAAATTTGTCTCTAAATCATGTACAAAAGGCTGTATTTTGAAAAAAGTCACCACATACTGTACAAGTTTACAAGGAAGAGATCCCATTATTTCTCTAGCATTTTTGGCCTTGCTGGCTTGCGTCACATTATGAGAATGATTGTGTAAACCTTATACTCTTAAGAAAAAAAGGAAAAAAAGAAGCCAAAACACAAATTTTTTCAACTTTCCCTAAATTTGCCTCCTACATGAAGCCAGGAAAATCATAGCTATTTATGTCTAATTTAAGTGATGTAGTTGGAAAACAGAAGCAATAAATATGTCACAAGCTTAAAATATTCTTGTAATGCCCCCTTCCATTTCTGCATAGCAATAAGCCTGTTAATACATTAAATGCTTTTGCTTTCTTTCTTTAAAAAGCCAATTATTTACATCTGTTTAAAAAATAATTTTTGAATGGGACATTGTGCTGTTTCACCTCCATTGCTGTTAAAGCATTTTAGGGGGAAAAATGTCAGAAGGCCTATCTACAATTTACTAGTTGAGCAAATCACTCTTCTTTAGTGGTTACCAATGGTCAGTGATGATATACAGAAAAAAGTGTTCAAATATTTTGATAAAAGAAAGACACAGCTTTTCTTTTCCATATCAGACAAAAATCAAAAGCATAATTAGCATACTTTAGATATATGGAAACACAAATAAGACGTTACAAAAAGAATCATTTCATTGACATAATTTCTACTGAATCATGAATAAAATGTCACCTATTAATTCAAAAATGGAATTGAATTAGAAAGTTTAAAATAAGCAGAAATCAGACACTTACATAAAGAACTAACTCTGAAGTAGTATGCTGCATATGTCCAGTTTGCACAACACAACTGTGTTCTTCAGCATAGTCACTCATGTGCTCTTAGCAGCCATTTGATAAAGACAAAATGAATATCAGAACCAACTCCATCATAAGAAAAGGGTAAATTGATTCTCATTTCAAAACTACCTGTGTAAAGCATTACAGAATCCTGGACCACTGAATACCACCATTCTGTTATCCTGAGTATGTCAATTAAACAGTAATTTTTCATTAAGAGCAGAAAAATTTTATAATACAAAGAAACATCCATATTGCAATTTCTGTTTACAATTGCACACAGAAGTACAGTGTACGTAAGAAATACATGTCTGATATAACAAGGTATGTACATTGGCAAGTGATGTCTCCAATGTTGAGGTGGTCGAGCCTCCTAGCCTTGACTGGCAGTTGAAAAATATATATATATATATATATTTCAATTTGTGATAAAAGTTTATAGAGAGCCAAGTTTGCCTGCATATGAAGAAAATGCAGCAACGAAGAACAGGGAACACAGGGCACACAATAATATTCTAAGATTTTGTGCCATTAGGTTAAAAATATCTGTCCATAAGAAAACTGGGTTCCTTTTCCACCCCCCACCCCCAAATTGGAATTTTCAGGCTTTAAAATTTAAGTAATTCCGCCTGGTCTGAGGACATGATCTCTTGCCATTTTTTTCTTCAACTGTTATTTGTGAGGGTTTAGCTTGGGGATGACTTAATAGGTGTCTCTTTGGAGTGAAGTTTCCCATTGTAGGCACTAGGAAGAACCAAGGCAAAAGCTGCAGTTAACGTCTCATGTGTCCCATTTGATAACTCTCCCGGGGCCTCTGACGGGGGGGTTGTTGAATGGGCTGTGGAGGTCTCCTCCTCTTTAAAGTGCCTGCAAGTCACAAACAAAAGTAAGATAGATTTACTGTGAGCTTTATACTCTTTAGAAAGAAAGCTGCCATATCAATAAGAAAGGCTCTAGACTGGTACTATCCAATAGAAATATAATATAAGCCATATATGTAATTTTTAAATTTCAGTAGCTATAATAAAAAGTAAAAAATAAATACATTGAGTATTTTTTTATTCCACTGAATCCAATATAGCCAAAATATTATCATTTCAAGACATGATCAAGCCCTAGCTAGTTTGGCTCAGTAGATAGAGCGTCAGCCTGAGGACTCAAGGGTCCCAGGTTTGGTTCCGGTCAAGGGCACATCTCCAGTGGGGAGTGTGCAGGAGGCAGCTGATCGATGTTTCTCTCTCATCAATGTTTCTAACTCTCTCTCCCTCTCCCTTTCTCTCTGTAAAAAATCAATAAAATATATTTTTTAAAAAAAGACCTGATCGATAAAATAATGAAATATTTCATTTTTTGTATACTAAGCCTTCAAAGTCTGATATGTCTTCTATATTTACAACACATCTCAATTCAGACTAGCCACTCTCAAGTGCTCAACAACCACAACTTTATAATAGACTAATGTGATTTCTGAGGACATGATTCATGACAAAGAAATTACTGAGTGTCTTTGAGCAAATGACTCAACCTCTCTGCAACTCTAATGCCTTGTCTGTAAAAACGGGAAAAATATCGAACTCATATAGTCTATATGTGAGGATGATATGATAGTGAATATAAAAATGCTTAACACTTTTTGTGAGGGTTCAGTAAATGGTGGAAAGGGTTTTGTGGGGGTTTTTAAGTTTTAAAGATAGAATTTGTTTAAAGTGAAATTAAGTACAAGAATTTTTCCAATAAATGATTATAATTGGAACTAAATTATAATTGGTAACTCATCTAAAAAGTGTTATGAGGCCCTCAGAAGTGCCTAAGAAACTGACAAAAATTCCAGAGGGCTAAACATTGTAAATTTATGAAAAGCAATGCTACAAAAGTCAAATTTCCCCTGATTCCCACCAAGATACTATCCCAGCATGAATACTGAGCTCTCTTGCCCTAAGATAGGTAAATGCAGGAAAACAACTAAGGGAACATGGAGAACATTGTATGAAACCCCGTTTTAATCTGCTTTCTGTAGGGTAGTGAGTTGGCCTGAGGCAAGAGGCGTCAAGAGGAGTCTGTGGAAGGGAGAAGAGGCAACTGCTGTGCTTTAGCTCTGGTTCTCCTCTGGCATTGCCTTGGGACAATGTCTACCCAAAACCAACAGTGAACAGAGTGCTGGTCCAGGAGTCTGGAGGGCAGCATAAAGGTCACCAATACCTTGGGGAAGGTAAGGGAGAAATATATACGAAGTAAATAACCTGGAGCAGTTGCTCCCTACCCTTTTCTTCTGTAAATCCCTGGAACTCATCTAAATCCTTCCTGAGGGGAAGGGTGAAGACCAAACCTTAGGAATTATTTTCAGAGATGAAGAATGGTCATTAAGTGACTAAAAGCCTCCACCCTAAGACTCTTCCACTGACTGTATTTCCCCATAAGCATCATCCCTAGGGAAAATAAGCATATGTACCAGAAAATCGCTGATAAACATGAACATTAAAAACAATAACAGAAGCTCAGCTATTAGAACACAAGGACCAATAATCTAAAACAAAAATAAAAAATTTTAGAATATGAAAAGAAAACAAAAATTAAGAAAATAAGTGAATAAGTACAAAGCAAAAACAAAACTTTCTAAGGTCTAAATGTTTTTAGACACTCTGGGTAGATTAACATTAAACTGTCTGCCATTAGCTAGATTGGACTGATTAAAATAAAATAAAATAAAATAAAATAAACACTTAAAAATCAAGTAAATAATGCATCTAGTAATCCCATTCTCAAGGAGAAAGTGCTATAAAATCAGTTACTAAAGACTCATTCATAATTCAATTCTTCCTGCTGAATGGTTCTGTGTTATAAAAATACATACCTTGATCAAATTGTCTTACCTGGAAGAGGTTTAGGAGGAGGCAACTTTGGATTACTACTTGGAGTATGAACACTGCATATCTTAATAAATCCAGCCATTAACATGATCAGGGCAATTCCCATAAGCAATACTGCCCACCAATTATCCTAGAAATAGAGTTTCAATTTTAGAATATTTATCTATACATATAAAAGCCTAAGTGACCATCCAACCGTTCTACCATCCAACGGTAGCTATGATGTGCAATGACCACCAGGGGGGCAGATGCTCCAACCGGTAGCTATGACGTGCACTAACCACCAGGGGGTAGACACTCAACACAGGAGCTGCCAAGCTGCGGTGACTTGGCAGCTGCGGTTCTCGGGTGACACACCCCAAAACCAGAGAGGAGGGAGCCCAATTTCAGGGTATGTCACCCAAGAACCACCCTCTTGCAATCTGGGACCCCTTGGGAAATGTCGGAGAGTTGGTTTCGGCCCAATCCCCACAGGCCAGGCTGAGGGACCCTACCGGTGCACAAATCCATGCACCAGGCCTCTTGTATTATATAAAATACAGAATAGAATATATTACACTTTAATTTTTAAAGAACATTTGTTGGCTGGAAGTTGTATGGATATCATGTATAAGCACATACATATTAATTTTTTAAGTATAAAAAAAGTATAAAGGAGAAAACAAAAATTACCCATAACTTCACTTCCTAAAGGAAATCACTCAATCCTATTTTCCTATCAGTCTTTTTTCCATATAGCTATGTCATACACATGGATAAACACAAAACTGGGGTCATCCTGGATATAGGTTATACTGTATTTTTCTATGGTATTAATTATTTTCTGGTTTAAATATTTCCCCTTTTTTGGTCTACTACTCATATAGACTATGCTATGTTTGCTTTTATACGCTCCACTGACTTGAAGGTATATTACTTTAAATTCTACTACTGCACAGATTTTTATACTCTTTCCATTTTTTTCTACTCGTCAAAGTTAAGACTAAAGTTTTACCTTTTTTGAGGCTCCCTTTTCTTATTACTCTACTTCATTTGCAATTTGAGACCCAGTCTACTGTTGTAAAATTATTTTAATATATCTTAATTTTCATTCTATTATGCATATATATCATAGTGTCTGTTATATACACTGAGTGGCCAGATTATTATAGACCACCTGATGGTTGTAGGCAAATTAGCTATAATTTCGCGCTGAAGTGGCTAGCGGGCCAGACCATTATAAATAGGGAAGCGGTTGTTTACCACAATAGTAGAAGTGATTTTTTTTCTGAAGATACGGGTAAACAACGCGATTTAACAGCCTTTGAATGTGGGATATATTTGAACGTGAGTGGCCAGATTATTATGACCACCCTTCAGTACTTCGTTGGGCTACCTTTTGCCTTCAATACTGCAGCAATTCTTCTTGGCATTGACTCCACGAGATGTTGAAAGGTGATGCGAGGAATCTGTCCATTTCTGTGAGATTTGATTGTTGTGGAACCAGCTGCCTGATGGCTCTTTTAACTTTGTCCCACAAATGCTCAATTGGATTGAGATCTGGTGATTGTGGGGGCCACCTAAGCAAGGTAAAGTCTCCCTCATGTTCTCGAAACCACTCCTGCACAACATGAGCACCGTGGCATGGCACTTTGTCTTGTTGAAAGAAGCCATCTCCACTGGGATAAGCCATCAACATGATAGAATGAACTTGATCAGCAACGATACTTATATATTGTGCTATTCAGACGTTGTTCCACATGAATTAAAGGGCCCAAATCATGCCAGGAAAACATGCCCCAAACCATAACACTGCCCCCACCAGCTTGAAGGGTTGTACTCATGCATGTGGGGTGCATGCTTTCATGCTGTTTCCGCCAAATTCTCACTCTGCCATTTGCATGATACAACTAGAAACATGATTCATCAAACCACATGACTTTTTTCCAATGCTCAACTGTTCAATCCTTGTGTTCCTATGCGAATTAGAGATGTTTTATCTTGGTAACTAAAGACAGCAAAGGTGTTCTAACAGGCCTTTGGCTTCCATATCCCATACAATGCAATTTATGGTTAATTTGCCTACAAACGTCAGGTGGTCATAATAATCTGGCCACTCACATTCAAATATACCCCACGTTCAAAGGCTGTTAAATCGCATTGTTTACCCATATCTTCAGAAAAAAATCACTTCTACTGTCGTGGTAAACAACCTGCTTCCCTATTTATAATGGTCTGGCCATCTAGCAACTTCAGCATGAAATTATAGCTAATTTGCCTACAGACGTCAGGTGGTCATAATAATCTGGCCACTCAGTATATATATGTATGTGTATGTATGTATGTATAAATAAATAAATATGTGTGTGTGTGTGTGTGTGTGTGTGTATGTATATATATAAATTTATCTAAAGGTTAATGGTCTTTTTAATATGAAAAGTGGAGGATGTACATATTCTAGAAGCAGGCAAACTTTATTCAGTCTAAAAAGGGCCTAAAAATTTTACTTCTAATTTAAATCATATTAAACAAGTCAATTAGCTACACAAAGTAATAACCTTCAACGTTTGAAATAATTTATAGGAAAGTTACTGTTTCCATTCTTAATAAATTATAAGTCTATTTTGTAATTCAAAATATTCAGATTTTAACATAGCATGTACAAAATAGTCACAACTTTAAAACTATGAACTTTCACATTGGCTTAACACACACTGTTATAATACATATATAGTCATTGCTAATTATTACTAACTAGAGGCCTAGTGCATGAAAATTCATGCACTGAAGGGGGGTCCCTCAGCCCGGCCTGCCCCCTCTCACAGTCTGAGAGCCCTCAGGGGCAGGAGGCGACCCAGATATCAGGGGAAGGCAACACCCCCATCACACCTCTGCTGCTGCCACTGCCGGCAGCGCAAGCCTCGGGCAGCCCTGGTTACCTGAGCCTCGGGTGGCCCTGGGCAGCTGGGCAGCCACCATCCGAGGCTTGCCTGCGCCTCAGGCCAGCCCTGGGCGGCTGGGGGGCTGTGGGGCTGAGGGTGGGTCTGGCCACACCATACGCCCAACCCCCTCCTGCTGGGCTGAAAGGACTGTGGGACTCTGGCGGTAGGCACAAGGAACAGCGGGTGGGTCTGGCCACATCATGTGCCTGCCATCCCCCCGGCAGGGCTAAAAGGATTGGGCGCCACCATCTTGTGGCTGTGGGCGTCACCATCTTTGTGACAGTGTGATGGTCAATTTGCATATTCACTCTTTATTAGACAGGATAAAAATCTCATTTTAAAAGTTCTTTTTCTGATCTGGGGTCTTACAAACAGCCTATATCTTTATCCATCAGTAACAATGTAATTAAAGTAATAGAAACGAAAACAACAATGCATGCTGTCGCAAAATACCCAGGTCACTTTTCTGTATGTGAAAAGCCTTTCCTATAATTACATATTTTTAATTTGTTTAATTTTGAAGGAATCTCTAACTTATTGAAAAGTTGTAAGTATAACACAAAGAACTTTTTAAAAACTGGAACCATCTAAGAGAACATTGCTAGCATGATGCCCTGTTATACCTAAACATTTTAGCATATAGTTTCTACAATATTAGGGTGTTTTCCTAGATAACAACAACACAATCATCAATCAGGAAATTAGCAGAGATACATTACTACCACTTAAACCTCAGACCCCACTCAAGTTTCACCATTTGTCCTAATGCCATCCAATTCAGAATTACATGTTGCATTTAATCTCCTGCAATCTAGAAAAATCCCAGTCTTTCCTTGGTTTATATAATTTTGACACTTTGGAAGAGTATAGGCTAGTTATTTTGTATCAAAATGTCCTTCAATTTGGATTTCTCAAATGTTTCCTTATGATTAGATTCAGGTCATACACCTTTGGTAAGAATATCACAGAAGTGATGCTGTGTTCTTCTTACTGCATCCTATCAGTTGATACATGATTTGAATCTCATTATTAGTGATGTTAACTTGATCAGTTGACTGAAGTGTTGTCTGGCAACTATCATAAAAATACTCTTTTATAGTCACTGAGTATTTTGTAGGAACATAATTTGGAACTATGTAAATATCCTGTTCTTCATCAAACTTTTTACTTATTCACTTATTTATTCCCTCATGCTTTCCTATTTTACACAATGGGTTATAATCCATTACTATGATTATTGTGTCTTTTGAACATGCCCCACAATTCTTTGGGCACTTTATTTTCTGACACAAAGCAAAAGTTCTAGGTTCATCTTGTTATTTCCCTGCCCCAGCCCTGGAATCAGCCATTTCTCTACCTCACCCTGGTTCCTTTTAGAACTGCCCCTCCTATGCAGACATCCTCCCCAAAGCATTTGTACTCTTATCCCAAGCTGGCTGCCCCTTAACAGGGCACCCTTCTCACCCTGCTAACACTGCATCTCATAGTGGTCTTCTTCCCCTTCCATCACTGCCCCACTCTGGTCAGGCTCCAACACCCTACTCTGTGCCACTGTAGCTCCCCCATCTGGTATGAATGCCTGCCTTGCCTGGCCTCACCTAATGGCTTTAGAAATGAACTGTTCAAGAAAAGAGAGCCTTAATGCTGAAAGACTTAGTTTTTTAAGAAAAGCTACAAATCTGAATTTTTATGTGAAATCTATTTTTAAATGCCAGCAACTCAAATTTTCTAAAAACAATATATACACCATTCAAGACATGTTTACACAGCTGAATCTGGCTTGGAAACCATAGTTTACAATCCACTTTTCTGAGCCATTTCTTGTATCCTACTGAGAGTGCCAGATAGTTTTTTTGGGTTTCTATAGAAAATAATTTTCAGCCAACTGTTCTCCCTATGAATCTTTAGGATGATATTCTCTTTCCCTTATTATATAAATTTTCTATAGTTTCCTGTTAGTTTTGGGGTTTTTTGCATTATTCATCCTCAAATAATAAATCCACTCTTTATCAGAAGTGAGGCCTGCCCTCAGCCTATCATGTGCTGACTGAGTTCTCTCTTCACTCTGCCTACTGTCACATGAAGAACTATAAGCACAGCTTCTGCCCTGTTCCCACCATCCAGAAGCCTTTAAAGTATGCTCTTTAATGAAGCAGGACTTTCTTCTACCTCCACTGTCTAGAATTCTGACACCCTGATCTAGTAAAAT